GATATTTAAATGGGTTCCTTTATGTACTATTGTAATATTTAGTAACGAACGAGGTTTTAAGTATGCTATTGCTTATTATCTAGAGAATATTAAAAAAAAAATTGTTTAGAAATAAGCGTAAACCAACTATAAAAAACCAGTTAATTACATTTCATATTGTTCATCCATATAAGTAAATTTTAAAACTCACTTTCACAAAATTATCTTAATCTTCACTCAGCGTTCTACATCTACATTTGCCGAAAAACCCGTGTTTGTTCCATTCAAAAATAAAATAATCACTAAATGTTTAATCAGGTACATACTTTTAACTCAAGTCGAATATTACTTTGGTCCAGAATAAGACTAAAGTACACAAGTTTCACTAAAGCCGGTCAAGCACATAACATAGAATCTTTCTTTATAAAATGATGTTCTATATTACAAAATCGTTAAGTCAATGTCTGGTCTTGAGATTTCTCAACTTTCTTTCGTTCTTCCGCTTAGTGAGTGTTACCATCACCACAAATTTTATAATAGATCGATAAGCACGGTATACACTGAGTGCACTATCGTTATCATCGGTGTCAACGTCTGTATTCGTATGGTATGCATATAAACATTCAAACAACCTTTAAAATATGACGTTAGTGTTTACGATACGCGTTGTTGAAAACGCATGCGTAAGGAATATAAGTAAGTAGGTATGCATGAATGGCAAATATTGTGTAGGTAGGAGTTATGTAAGCACAGAGGCGTAGTTTTTGAATTCCACTGAGGTAATATTTTTGATTTATTGACAACATAATGGGCAACGACCGGAAAAAATGCACCAAAAAATATAAAAAATGCGCATTTTAATGCATTTGATTTGAGAAAAATGTGGAAAAGTATTTACGAAACATACAAAGTAAAAATGCAACATTAATAATAAAATTATTAATAATTCTCCCTGTATATTTGTGTGACGTTGGATATAATCACATTTAAATAAAACAATAGACCGGTGTGAAGTTAGTAGCCAAAAACTGGTAGCCCGTTTACCGAGTACACCCGAACAATACAGTGGCCCGTTAAAAAGGGCAATACGTACGTTTATTTCAATTTTATGTGTTAATTGAAAATTGAGGTCGTTTGTATTTTAAATGTTATTTTTCTTATATAAATAAAAAAAAAAAATAAATACATGAAAAATAATACATTCATTATGAAATTTCTTAATATTCATATTATTAAAAATAAAATATCAAAGCAGAATTGATACCACCCCTATTTTAAAAAATAAATATTTGACGTACTTAAAAATGAGATATCAAGTTAGGATTAATACCAAGTATACCTTTTATTGCAAGCAGTTACTGGCCAAAAGAATAATCGCTTAGGACACTAGTAAGGGGTAGCAATCCCACCCAGACTTCAAAAAATAAATATTTGACGCACTTTAAAATGAGATATCAAGTTGGGATTATCAACAAGTATACCTTTTAATGCAAACAGTTACTGTCCAAAAGAAGAACCGCTTAGGACCCTCGGAAGGGGTAGCAATCCCACCCCCATTTCAAAAAATAAATATTTGACGCACTAAAAAATGAGTTATCAAGTTGGGATTAATACCGAGTATACCTTTTAATGCAAGCAGCTACTGGACAAAAGAAGAATCGCTTAGGACCCTCGGAAGGGGTAGCAATCCCACCCTCATTTCAAAAAATAAATATTTGACGCACCTAAAAATGAGATATCAAGTTGGGATTAATACCAAGTATACTTTTTAATGCAACCAGTTACCGGCTAAAAGCAAAATGGCTTCGGACCCTCGAAAGGGGTAGCAATCCCACCCCTATTTTAAAAAATAAATATTTGACGTACTTAAAAATGAGATATCAAGTTGGGATTAATACCAATAATACCTTATAATGCAAGCAGTTACTGGCCAAAAGAAGAATCGCTTAGGACTTTCGGAAGGGGTAGCAATCCCACCCCCATTTCAAAAAATAAATATTTGACGCACCTAAAAATGAGATATCAAGTTGGCATTAAAACCAACTATACCTTTTAATGCAAGCAGTTACTGACCAAAAGAAGAATCGCTTAGGGCCCTCGAAAAAGGTAGCAATCCCACCCCCATTTCAAAAAATAAACATTTGACGCACTTAAAAATGAGATATCAAGTTGGGATTAATACCAATATTACCTTTTAATGCAAGCAGTTACTGGCCAAAATAACAATCACTTAGGACAGTCGTAAGGGGTAGCAATCCCACCGCCACTTCAAAAAATAAATATTTGACGCACTAAAAAATGAGATATCAAGTTGGGATTAATACCAAGTATACCTCTTACTGCAAGCAGTTACTAACCAAAAGCAAAATCGCTTAGGACCCTCGGAAGGGGTAGCAATCCCACCCCTATTTTAAAAAATAAATATTTTACGTACTTAAAAATGAGATATCAAGTTAGGATTAATACCAAGTATACCTTTTATTGCAAGCAGTTACTGGCCAAAAGAACAATCGCTTAGGACCCTAGTAAAGGGTAGCAATCCCACCCCCACTTCAAAAAATAAATATTTGACGAACTAAAAAATGAGATATCAAGTTGGGATTAATACCAAGTATACCTTTTAATGCAGGCAGCTAATGGACAAAAGAAGAATCGCTTTGGACCTTCGGAAAGGGTAGGAATCCCACCCCCATTTCAAAAAATAAATATTTGACGCACCTAAAAATAAGATATCAAGTTGGAATTAAAACCAACTATACCTTTTAATGCAAGCAGTCACTGACCAAAAGAAGAATCGCTTAGGGCCCTTGGAAGGGGTAGCAATCCCACCCCCATTTCAAAAAATAAACATTTGACGCACTTACAAATGAGATATCAAGTTGGGATTAATAACAAGTATACCTTTTAATGCAAGCAGTTACTGGCCAAAAGAAGAATCGCTTAGGACCCTCGGAAGGGGTAGCAATCCCACCCCCATTTAAAAAAATAAACATTTGACGCACTTACAAATGAGATATCAAGTTGGAATTAATACCAACTATACCTTTTAATGCAAGCAGTTACTGACCAAAAGAAGAATCGCTTAGGACCCTCAGAAGGGGTAGCAATCCCACCCCTATTTATACAAATAAACATTTGACGCACCTAAAAATGAGATATCAAGTTGGAATTAATACCAACTATACCTTTTAATGCAAGCAGTAACTGGACAAAAGAAGAATCGCTTAGGACCCTCGGAAGGGGTAGCAATCCCACCCCCATTTCAAAAAATAAATATTTGACGCACTAAAAAATGAGATATCAAGTTGGGATTATTACTAAGTACACCTTTTAATGCAAGCAGCTACTGGACAAAAGAAGAATTGCTTAGGACCCTAGGAAGGGGTAGCAATCCTACCCCCATTTCAAAAAATAAATATTTAACGCAGATTTGCCGTTGCTCTTATATTATTAGTCACTTTGGTTTTTCAAATTCACTACCCTGTATATTCAGTCATTATTGGAATCTACTATTCAATACGAGTTCAACCATATGTATTACTTATGATTTTATGTAGTCTGGAAGGTCTTAAATAAATAAAACAGAAGTCTGGCAACGCCTAATTTTCTCAATAATTTTTTAATACAAACTATTTTCAACTATATAAGAGGTAACAGTTGAAAGATTACAAAATTTTTAACATAATGGTTACTTAATCAAGTGTTCAAAAGGTGCTCCATGTTTGAGTTGACAGTACCTTAATCGATGGTAGAATGCGTCTACCACATTTCTCCATGATTGTTTTATTTATTTGAGACCTTCCAGACTACATAAAATCATAAGTGTTACATATGGTTGAACTCGTATTGAATAGGAGATTCCAATAATGACTGAATATACAGGGTAATGAATTTGAAAAACCAAAGTGACCGAGGGTCCTAAGCAATTCTTCTTTTGTCCAGTAGCTGCTTGCATTAAAAGGTATACTTGATATTAATTCCAACTTGACATCTCATTTTTAAGTGCGTCAAATATTTATTTTATGAAATGGGGGTGGGATTGCTACCCCTTGCAATGGTCCTAAGCGATTACCCTTTTGGCCAGTAACTGCTTGCATTAAAAGGTATACTTGGTATTAATCCCAACTTGATATGTCATTTTTTAGTGCGTCAAATATTTATTTTTTGAAATGGGGGTGGGATTGCTACCCCTTCCGAGGGTCCTAAGCGATTCTTCTTTTGGCCACTAACTGCTTGCATTAAAAGGTATACTTGTTATTAATCCCAACTTGATATCTCATTTCAAAGTGCGTCTAATATTTATTTTTTAAAATGGGGGTGGAAGTGCTACCCCTTCCGAGGGTCCTAAGCGATTCTTCTTTTGGCCAGTAACTGCTTCCATTAAAAGGTATACTTGTTAATAATCCCAACTTGATATCTCATTTCAAAGTGCGTCTAATATTTATTTTTTAAAATGGGGGTGGAATTGCTACCCCTTCCGAAGGTCCTAAGCGTTTCTTCTTTTGTCCAGTAACTGCTTGCATTAAAAGGTATACTTGGTATTAATCCCAACTTGATATGTCATTTTTTAGTGCGTCAAATATTTATTTTTTGAAATGGGGGTGGGATTGCTACCCCTTCCGAGGGTCCTAAGCGATTCTTCTTTTGGCCACTAACTGCTTGCATTAAAAGGTATACTTGTTATTAATCCCAACTTGATATCTCATTTCAAAGTGCGTCTAATATTTATTTTTTAAAATGGGGGTGGAAGTGCTACCCCTTCCGAGGGTCCTAAGCGATTCTTCTTTTGGCCAGTAACTGCTTCCATTAAAAGGTATACTTGTTAATAATCCCAACTTGATATCTCATTTCAAAGTGCGTCTAATATTTATTTTTTAAAATGGGGGTGGAATTGCTACCCCTTCCGAAGGTCCTAAGCGTTTCTTCTTTTGTCCAGTAACTGCTTGCATTAAAAGGTATACTTGGTATTAATCCCAACTTGATATCTCATTTTTTAGTGCGTCAAATATTTATTTTTTGAAATGGGGGGTGAGATTGCTACGCCTTCCGAGGGTCCTAAGCAATTCTTCTTTCGTCCAGTAACTGCTTGCATTAAAAGGTATACTTGGTATTAATTCCAACTTGATATCTTATTTTTAAGTGCGTTAAATATTTATTTTTTGAAATGGGGGTGGGATTGCTACCCCTTCCGAGGGTCCTAAGCAATTCTTCTTTTGTCCAATAGCTGCTTGCATTAAAAGGTATACTTGGTATTAATCCCAACTTGATATCTCATTTTTTAATGAGTCAAATATTTATTTTTTGAAATGGGGGTGGGATTGCTACCCCTTCCGAGGGTCCTAAGCGATTCTTCTTTTGTCCAGTAGCTGCTTGCATTAAAAGGTATATTTGGTATTAATCCCACCTTGATATCTCATTTCAAAGTGCGTCTAATATTTATTTTTTAAAATGGGGGTGGAATTGCTACCCCTTCCGAAGGTCCTCAGCGATTCTTCTTTTGCCCAGTAACTGCTTGCATTAAAAGGTATACTTGGTATTAATCCCAACTTGATATCTCATTTTTTAGTGCGTCAAATATTCATTTTTTGAAATGGGGGTGAGATTGCTACGCCTTCCGAGGGCCCTAAGCAATTCTTCTTTTGTCCAGTAACTGTTTGCATTAAAAGGTATACTAAGTATTAATTCCAACTTGATATCTCATTTTTTAATGAGTAAAATATTTATTTTTTGAAATGGGGGTGGGATTGCTACCCCTTCCGAGGGTCCTAAGCAATTCTTCTTTTGTCCAATAGCTGCTTGCATTAAAAGGTATACTTGGTATTAATCCCAACTTGATATCTCATTTTTTAATGAGTCAAATATTTATTTTTTGAAATGGGGGTGGGATTGCTACCCCTTTCCAAGGGTCCTAAGCGATTCTTCTTTTGGCCAGTAACTGCCTGCATTAAAAGGTATTTTTGGTATTAATTCTAACTTGATATCTCATTTTTAAGTGCGTCAAATATTTATTTTTTGAAATGGGGGTGGGATTGCTACCCCTTCCGAGGGTCCTAAGCGATTTTGCTTTTGGCCAATAACTGCATTAAAAGGTATACTTGGTATTAATCCCAACTTGATATCTCATTTTTAAGTGCGTCAAATATTTATTTTTTAAAATAGGGGTGGAATTGCTACCCCTTCCGAGGGTCCTAAGCGATTTTGCTTTTGGCCAGTAACTGCTTGCATTTAAAGGTATACTTGGTATTAATTCCAACTTGATATCTCATTTTTAAGTGCGTCAAATATTTATTTTTTGAAATAGGGGTGTTATTCCTACCCCTTCCGAGGGTTCTAAGCGAATCTGCTTTTGGTCAGTAACTATTTGTATTAAAACTTATACGTGGTATCAATTCTGCTTTGATATTTTATTTTTAATAATATGAATATTAAGAAATTTCATTATGAATGTATTATTTTTCATGTATTTATTTTTTTTATTTATTTATATAAGGAAAATAGCATTTAAAATACAAACGACCTCAATTTTCAACTAACACATGAAATTGAAATAAACGTACGTATTGCCCTTTTTAACGGGCCACTGTATTGTTCGGGAGTACTCGGTAAACGGGCTACCAGTTTTTGGCTACTAACTTCACATCGGTGTGTTAAGTGCCATTTTGATGTTATGTTTACAGAAGAGTAGGTATTAAATTATAACTCCCACATTTTAGATAATTAATAAACACATTTCAAAGATACATGCTTATTTTGTTACCAGTCCCAAACAGTTTCACATGGAGGGATCTTATAATTGTAATAAAATGTGGTTCTTACAAGGCAAATTGATGAAAAGGGTAAGTACAAAAATGATCTGTAAACCTTAATTATCTACTATATGAATAAGTGTTGCAATATTATACGCAGACACTCGAACGGCGGATATAACTATTGAAATGTTATAAAGAGTTTCTAGACACTTGGAAACACACTATGCATAACAATTTTAGGTCCGCTAACACTTATTTAAAAAAAAAAATTTTACCTTAAAATCCTGAAAATCCTTAAAATTTGTTGTTGGGTCTCCATCATAAAACAAATGTGAAATAAACCATTTTCACTGATTTCTTGTTGTAGAAACGGCTAATATCAATATAAGACCATTCATAGAGCAATAAACCGTACCAAATTTTTTCATAAAAGATCAAATTTTCTTATTTTTCATTTTAAGTTTGTTAGAAAAATAAATAAACATTAAATTATTTTTAATGACAATTGATGTGTCTAGTTTCTATAAATGCGGTGTTGCCAAATCGAGTAAGAAAACATATAAGTCAGGAAATAGTTCGGTTAGTGAAAGTTGGCTGAAAAATTACATAGTGTCTGGCCAGCAGGTAAATTTGGATCTCAAAGTGAAAACATTTGTAGTAATCACAGATAACCGTCTTTTTATTTTATTTCATGATGATTGTACGTTAATTACGGCATGTCGGTACTTACCTAATATTAAAAAAAAAAAATTAAATTTGAGCTGTGTCCAGGCCGTTGGAGTTTATGCCGGTCGGCGTAGCCAGGTATGGTTTAAAAATTTTCTGGTGGCGGCGAAGCCGCCACCTTACAAGAAGTCGTTCTTTCATTTTCTTCTTATAAGATGCTTACGATACAAGACACGTTCGTTAAAAGTTGGGATCGAGGTTCACTGGCCAGACGCTAATGAGAGTTGGTAAGGTAAGGTTAGGTTTTTTTTTTTCAATTTGAGCTGTGTCCGGGCCGTTGGAGTTTATGCCGGTAGGCGTAGCCAGGTATGGATTAAAAATTTTCTGGTGGCGGCGAAGCCGCCACCTTACCAGAAGTCCTTTCTTCCTTTTGTTATTGTATATTTTCTTATTATTAGATGCATACGATACAAAACACGTTTGTTTAAAGTTGGGATCGAGGTTCACTGGCTAGACGCTAATAAGGGTTGCTTAGGTTAGGTTTTTTTTCAATTTGAGCTGTGTCCAGGCCGTTGGAGTTTATGCCGGTAGGCGTAGCCAGGTATGGATTAAAAATTTTCTGGTGGCGGCGAAGCCGCCACCTTACAAGAAGTCGTTCCTTCATTTTCTTATTGTATATTTTCTTATTATTAGATGCCCACGATACAAGACACGTTCGTTAGAAGTTGGGATCGAGGTTTACGGGCCAGACGCTAATGAGGGTTGGTTAGGTTCGGTTAGTTTAAGAGTTTTTAAACTGGAGGGGAAAATTGTATAATCCTTGCAATTTAAAAAATATCAATATTGACGTCGAAGAGTATTCTGCCGATGAGGGTGAGGAAGAAGATCTGTATTTTTTAAATTGTAAGTTTTATATAATTTTTCTAATACTGAAGTCAATTGGTTGGCCTGGTACAACGCAGGGCATAGGTAAAAATTACCATTGCTATGTAATACATAATTGATATGGCAACATTGTATTTCTTTTAGACACATGTCACACTGCCAATGTTAATTGTCATTGCGGTTATGAAAATTTGATCATTCTGACGAATTTTAACTTGCTCGTAAATTAAGAAAATAATACTATTTACGAGAAAATTTGGATGGTTTATTGCATTATGGATGGTCTAGTGTTATTATTTAGCAGTTTCTATAACAAGAAATTAATCAAAAGGATGTAGTTTAAATTTTTTCAACATCGAAATTGGAGGACACATTTTAATAGTTTTAAGGTAAGAAAAAAATATTTTATAGCGTTTGCAGGGCAAAAAAAGTATTTTGAAATGTGTTTCAGAAGGTCTAAAATCGTTTAAAAAAAAAAAAATAGCCCGTTCGACTGTTGGCGGATTTTTCCAACTTTTTATTAAATATAAACGCAGAGGATTGTTTTCGATAGATTCATTAACTCATATAATTTTAATCATTTACAAAATAAATCAAAGCTTTGTAGGTGTAACTACAGACAGATTGATAAAGTAAAACGAAGGAAAGGTAGGTCTTTTCAACTGTGAAAATTTTATTAGTGTTCGCCAAGAGCTTGCATTATAAATGTAAAAAAAGGAATTATCAATCTTTCTATTCTTGTTTACATTCATAATATACCGATGATGTTTAAACAGCCGAACTGCTAATTCTAATGTACACACATACACACACACATACACATTTAAAAAAAATTGAAAATACCTTTATTCGTTTCTTTTCTTTATCTACAAAATAATATAAAAGCTTATAACAGCAATTACTATCGTCTTTATTATTTTATTTCTACTTCGTCCACTTCTACTTTTGATATATCTAAATCAAAATTTGACAGGTACATCATTTATATCTAAGATCAACAATAACTAGAATAGTGTTAGAAACCATTAAATTAATTTAATAAAATAATTTGTATTTGTCGACGTCCTGTATATTTTGGACTGAGTCAGCGTTTTGATAGATAAGCACCGACCGCTATCGGCAGCGTTACCAGGTCTAGGGATTTATCCCGAATCTAGGGATTTTTGATGTACGGCAGGGATAAAGGGATTTTGATCCAAGATCTAGAGACAATTCAACAAAAACGATTTTATCCGATGACTAAATAAAAAAATATATTTTTTTCCCTTTAATAAATGTTGAGAAATAAAACATTGCTTTCAGTGCTTTCCGCGATCTAATTTTACGTTTTTTAAGAATGGACGCCGCCATCTATTTGGAATTGCTTGCAACTTTAAATAAATAAATAAATAAATAGTAGATTTCATATTTGGGCCCAGTTGTTTTTTTATAATGGACGCTGCCATCTATTTGGAATTGCTTGCAGCTTTAAATAAAGAAATAGTAGATTTTAAATTTGGGCACAGTTATTTTTTTAAAACGACATTGGCGTTACCATTTCGGGCATTTACACGAAATACCGGGAAAATCCCTATTTGGCGACCTTCACAAAAGAATCTGTAAATCCCCGTATTTGTAAAAGATCTTGTTGCGTTGTAGGTTGTCGTAAACTTTGTGATTGGTCTTATTACTTCATTTAATTTTTTAAGTAAATTATTTTTGTAACTTCTAAGTGACAAACCGTTAAAATAAGGTATATAGTAAATTATTCATATTTATATTAGACTCTTAGAAATAATTATTTACATAATAATTATTTATTTCTTAGGAAAATTAAAATGACTTCCAAACCCTCTAGTTCTAGAGAGGTTGAAGAGTATATATCAACATCATCTTCTTCTGAGGAGGTTACACTGCAAGGAAAAAAAAAGAAAAAAGAAGTCGTATGCCCAAAAGTATTAGAAAAAATGGGAAAAAGAAGACGTATTTAAAGGCTGGTTACAGATGAGCAAGATGGGACCAACATATGCTTTTTGTAGAGTATGTAATAAGGATTTGGTATGTGGAAAATCCGAACTTTTAAGACATTCTGGAGTGGCGGCACACAAAAATAAAAGTAAATCTTTACATAAACAACAAACATTAAAGTCTATGACAACATTTCAAACTAATGTAGATTCCAATAATAACATTAAGAAAACGGAAATTAGATTCGCAGCTTTTGCCGCGGAACATAATTTATCGTTTAATGTAATGGACCATCTTTCAGAGGTCATTAGGGTTAGTTTTTTTGATTCTCAAATTGCTAAAGGGTATATCAATAACCGAACAAAAGCCACTGCCATCATAAACAACGTAACTGGGGCTCGTGGCTTTGAAAAAACTTTAAATTTACTAAAATACAATAAATTTTCACTAATTGCCGATGAATCCACAGACAAAAGTGGGACAAAAAGTTTGGCATTAGTAGCTAGGGTTTGTAATTTTAAGAAGGCAGATGATTTGTTTTTGGGATTATTACCTGTAGCATCGGCCACAGCTGATGCACTTTACCAAAAGATTAGGGACTTTTTTCGTAGAACACAATATAGATTACAAAAAAAAATTAATCGGGTTTGGCGCTGACGGAGCTAGTGCAATGATGGGTATACATAATTCACTGTCCACAAAATTAAAAAATGATGTACCAAATTTATTTATTTTAAAATGTACTTGTCATTCTTTCAGTCTATGTGCAAATTATGCTTGTCAAAAATTGTCTGAGTTAGTTGAAAATCTTGCAAGAGATGTACACACTTACTTGCAGTATAGCTTTAAAAGGCAAACTGAACTTCTCGAGTTCCAAGAATTTGTTAATGTTAAACCACATAAAATTCTTCAACCATCTCAGACCCGATGGTTATCTTTGCATCAAGTTGTAGTAAGACTCTTGGAACAATATAATGCTCTGGTACTATATTTTACAGATCAGGCTAGTAAAAACATAGAGAAAGCCCAATCGATTCTATACAGGTTAAATGATCCTTCAGTAAAATTATACTACCATTTTCTAGATTTTGTCTTACCATTTTTTACAAAGTTAAATTTGGAAATGCAATCTGAAAGCACCAAAATTCACACGTTACACGGTAAAATTAAAAATGTTTTGAGGTCTCTTTTAGATTGCTGTATTAAAAAAGAATATTTGGAAAAACCTCCCATCGAAGACATTCAATATAAAAATCCTCGATTTTTTTTACCAATTGAAGAAATGTATTTAGGTGCATATGTAGTAGGTTCTGTTACTAATAAAACCCACAATTTAAATGCCGAAGAATTGCAAAATTTCCGAACCCGTTGCTTGGATTTTCTTATTGAGAGTTACGCTCAAATTTATAAGCGATTTAATGCAAAGAGCACCTCAATGAAAATTTTAAAAGATTTATCAATTATAAGTCCTGAGCAGGTAATTTCCAAGAAGCATAACACAATTGCTTCTTTGGGGATGCATTTCCCAAATCTGGTTTTAGCGAACCAACTGAACGAATTGGATCGAGAATGGCGACAATTACGCAATATCGACATAAATGACTTAAAAAATCTTAATATTTCAGAATTTTGGTCAAAAATTTCAGAAATGAAATGTGGTGATGAATCCTTTATGTTTCCCACACTCTGTGAATTTATATTTAATATCATGTGTTTGCCACATTCAAGCGCCACCGTGGAAAGAACCTTTTCAACTATTAACCTAAATAAAACCAAAATAAGAAACAAGCTTTCAACAGAAACTTTGTCCGGCATCCTACATACTAAAACATTAATGAAAAATGAAAATTGTTTTAATTTTAATATTGATGAAGACTTGGTTAAAAAACTGAATTATAAAATAAAAACATAATATTGTAAGTAATAAAAAACATTTCAAAATGTTATTTTTAAACTAATGTTATTTTATGTTTAAACTAACGTTATTTTATTTGGATTATTTGTATTTTTATTGACGAAAATAAAAGATTTTCATAATGATCTTGTCTTATTTAGCTTGCCGAGTGCAAAGTGCGGTGCTTGCGCTTTTGGGCCACGAATTAACGTATAGGGATATTCTAGGGATTTTTGAAATATTATCTGGGGATTATACAAAATTTGACCTGGCAACGCTGGCTATCGGTCGTGCGGGGATCAGTTTTGAATGATCCTCGGCACGCTCGTGTTAAACGCCGTTTGTGTTTATCAAATTTATATTTCGTATTTTTGTTATTAGAATCTTGTTTAGTTTGTATTTCGTTTTATTTATTCTAACACTAGATAATAACTAGACCTCAACAAAGATGATAGAAGCATTACTTTAACTTTAATAAATAATATAGCAAAATTATTAGAGTTATAAATAAAATACAATTATATTTGTTCGTAAATATAATATATGTCATGCTCCGTAAACATTAGTATAATAACCTGTCAAATGATTGACCAATCATCTGATGGTCAGATCTTGAAGTTGGATACATGTTGATGTTAAAATATACTTTATCTAGCTCTTATAGTCAAACGGGTACCTCACCTTTTAACGACCTCTGGTGAATTTTTCGGAACTATGTTGTGTTTAGTGCCATATCGTCTTTTGCTTTTATATGGGATTTAAGGGAAGTTGAAACACCTATTGTCTTTCATCGTGCTATATTTTAATAGATTCTGACATAAAAATAATGCGTCGGAATAGTTTTCAACTCATGGATCTATTTCTTCTGGACTACCACTGAATTATGTAACTAATTTTAATTTACTCATAATTTTCTAAAGCAGGTATAATGAAAAGTGAGAATTAACTTTATATTGTAATATTAAATAACTTCTAGAAAATTTTATTCCCTTTTTTTTTTTCTAAAATAAATTATTTTAATAATACAGCAATTACTTACATTTTTGACGGAAGGTTTAAATCCATTCTAAACGTACTGACCTGAAACAAAAAATAGTTATTTCATAAAATATTTAAGTACTAAATTAACACAAATACCACATAATTTGGTGATGACCACATTTGAGAAGTTGGATACCTTTCTTTAGTTACTAAAATGTTTGTTTCGAGCATACATATAATAATAATAATATTCTTTGTTGTTCGGCTTAGAGGTAGATGAAAATATTCCCTTAAGTTTCTTAAACGATGTATACCGGGTGTTCGTCCGAAATCTTCGAATACTTTTATTTCTGGTGAAATTTTAGTTAAAATCTTGAATTTTTGGAGCATGAGATAGTAGTCTAAGAGCCGAAGAGAGATCGTTCTTCACCCATCTGCCAACCGAATTAAACATATTTTTTAGTTAATTTTACACATCAACAAATGCATCTTGGCTAACTTGCCTATCAAAATATGTTCAAGACTATTTTTAATTAATTTAATTTTAATCAATTTTTTTTTATTATTTGTACAACGTGATAACCAAATAATTTTTTGGCAAATCAAAAGTTTGAACCTTACAGAATATGCTTAGTTGGTCTTGCCTGCTCATTTTTTTTTTCAAGACTACCTGGCAAGCAGGGGTGAACAGTTAAATTATTTCAAGTGAGTACACCGATCTGATTCTTATGCAGCGCAGGAAAATCGCGTCGAAAGAAACGAAGAAGTGGAATACATGTGTCAGATAGAAGATATAAATACCCTGATAGAATTGATAAATAATAAATGTGAAGTTAACTGCAGATTTCAGGATATAAGAGATCTATACCGGATAGGCAAAATTGGAAAAGAAGTGACAACTAGACCCCTTGTTGTTGAATTTATATATTATAAACAACAAACAGCAATTTTAGAAAACCTATCAAAATTAAAAGGAACTGGGATTTCAATTTATAGGGATTACACGCAGGAGAAATACAAAAACAGGAAAATTCTACATAAATATCTAAAAAAGGCAAGACAGAACAACTACGAGGCAATTATTAAAAAGAATAAACTACATATAAATAATAAAATATACACGGCTGCAGATCTTGAAGTACTTACACAGATTCCGCTGCAGAATTAACAACAAGTACTACAAAGCCAAGAGAAGAAAACCAAGGAAATAAAAGAAAAAATGAGGAACCACACGCATCTGATAATTTAATAAAAAGAACAACTAGAGAAAATAGTCAAAATACGCCTACACAGATAAAATAAATAATAAATTATAATTCTCTTTCAATTTAAATTCAGATATTATATACCTAATGGCTTTCTGTAATTCGTTCACACCCTAGATATAAGTATTAATAGTATAAATTTACATTCTTCTATATCAACTGTATCGGCTGTTTTTATCCTTATCATTTTAGACAATTTTATTTAGATTTAAAATTATACAAAATCATTTGAGTTTATTAATTTTTTTTATAAATTTTACTTACTCTTAAGAACAAATATATACCTAATTATGGATCCCTACATTCGTGATTTTGTTATAAAAAAATCAGAAAATTTTCAAATAAGCGAAGTAACGCATATTAAGGACATCTTACAAGTTAATGACACATTTGGAAACTTTAAAATTATTCATAATAACATTTGCAGTATTCGACATAATTTTGATGAATATTTAATACTCCTAAAAAACATTGAATTGTGTTTTGATTGCATAGTTTTTACGGAAACGCGTTTCGTTGCTGATATTACAATTTTCAACATTCCAGGTTATAAGACGATTTACAACCATGGTGATTTAAACCAGAACGACGGTGTAGTTCTATTTGTAAAATCCGATATTTATGTATCTCATCAAAATGTAAGATTTAACAATAGCTTTCTTCTACAGGTGAAAATAAACTATGGAAAACATATTTTTAACATAAATACTATTTACAGATCACCTTCTACTGATATACCTAATTTTATAAATGAGATGAATACTTTCTTAACTCAAGAAAGCAAAAATAACTATGATTATAGTATCTGTATAGGCGACATGAACATAGATATATTATCAAATACTCAAGACTCAAATAATTACCTTGATACAATGAGTGAATTTGGTTATGTTTCAGCAATTAATACACCAACTAGGTTTCAAAAAAACACAAAGACATGTTTGGATCACATTTTTATTAATAATAAAAATCAATTATATGATACTATATTGCCATTAACTCTAGAAACAAATATAACAGATCACTATTCAACATTAGCACAGATTATAATTCCAACACATCTAAAACAAAACAACTTATCTAATAATAACATAATAAAAATATTAAATGAAAAAAGACTAAAAAATGAAATGATGAATATTAACTGGGATTTCGTTTTTGATGGTGACGATGTGGAATCTGAAACAATAAAATTCATTAGTATAGTTAAAAAATGTGTAGATATATCTACAATATATAAAAGAATCAAAAGTGATAATAAAAAACGCAAATGTTGGATAACGAACACCCTGATCAATTCAATAAACAAGAAAATAAAATGTTTTGTCAATATAAAAAATGTCCACACGATGAAAATCTAAAACAAGAGTACCTAAATTATAAAAAAACCTTAAGCAAACTAATTAAACAAACAAAAATAAGTTACTACCGAAGCCGTATTCAAAGCGATATGAATCCAAAAAATTTGTGGAATACCATTAATGAATTCTTAACAATACCAGAAAGAACTCCAATAAATTTAATTAAAGAAAATAAAGACAAACTCATAACTGAACCATTCGAAATAGCGGAGACTTTTAATGAATATTTTATATCTGTAGGTAAAAACTTAGCTAAAAAAATTAAAACTAATTTAAACTACGTGGAGAAAAAGATAACCTGCAATCAATCCATTTTCCTTCGTCCATCCGATGAAAATAAAATAAAAGAAACCATAATGAAATTAAAAAATAATAAAGCTCCAGGTTGGGACGGTCTAAAAGCAGAAACACTAAAAATAATCAAGGACTATATTGCAAAACCTATTTCACACTTAATTAATAAATCAATACAAAAAGATCACTTTCCATCTGTTTTAAAACTAGCAACGGTGTTTCCAATCTACAAACAGGGAGAAAAAACTGATTTAATTAATTACAGGCCAGTATCTTTAATTAGCAGCCTAGCTAAAATATTCGAAAAAGTAATCCAGACTAGATTAAACAATTTCTTAAATAAACATAAATTACTTTCAGAAGCACAATACGGATTTAGGCTAAACATGTCTACTCAAGATGCCATTAAAGTATTAACTGAGAATATATATAAGAGTATTGACAAAACTATGCCATCTATTGGTGTATTCATAGATTTAGCAAAGGCTTTTGCTACCATTGATCACAACATCCTTCTTAATATATTGCATGATATGGGTATAAGGGGTATTCCACATGAACTTTTAAAAAGTTACTTAAAAAATAGAAAACAAAAAGTAAAAATAGGTGACATGTTGAGCCAAGAAAAAACTATTACTTGTGGAGTACCACAAGAGACTGTGCTAGGGTCTATTCTTTTTAATATATTTTTAAATAATCTATTCCTGGTAGAGACAAATTGCAAAATAATTAGTTTTGCCGATGATACGGTATTATTTTGTGAAGATAGTAACTGGTATACTCTAAAGATAAAATTAGAACAAGACTTAGAAAAAATAAAAATGTGGTTTGATCATAGGCTCTTGTCATTAAACTTTAAAAAAACAAATTACATACCATTTAGTTATTACAGTAACGCTCTTCCGGATTATAACCTTATTGTTGGAAATACGTTTAGCATTACCCCTGTAAGAAAAATAAAATACCTTGGAATTATAATAGACCATAACTTAAGGTGGGATCAACACATAGAATATACCTTAAAAAAACTGCGTTGTGTATTATATAAATTTAAACAAATATATTGTATTCTTGATTTTAAACAAAAAATAATGTTATACAAGAGTTTAGTTGAATCACATCTTAATTATGGGATAATAGGATGGGGTGGCGTATCCAAAACTTACCTTTCATCACTTGAAATATTCCAAAAACGATTTATTCGAATCATTTTGCAGAGGGGTTATGATTGTTCAACCAATATGTTATATAGTGAGAGTGGTATATTTGATCCTAGACAGCTATATTTTATAAACGTAGGTATTACCCAGTATAACCACAAGGTGGAACTTAAAACTTCAAGTCACGAATATGCCACCCGTAACAAACTAACGTACGTTCCTCCTTATATGAAGAAAGCTATTGGACAAAAATCTTATTCCTTTTTAGGTCCTAAAATTTATAATTCACTACCCTGTGATATTAGAAACGAAATTAAATTTCCGATATACAAAAAGAAAATAAAGATTTATCTTAAGCATGACACGTGCCTTTGCACATCAAATTATTGAAAATTAGAATTTGTCTTTAAAATCCCTGTGTGTATATATATATATATATATATATATATATATATATATATATATATATATATATATATATATACTCTATATATACTCTATATATACTCTATATTATTATTATCATTTTTGTTATTTACATTATTTTAGATAGTACTTTTTTATATACCAATAATGTTAAAAAATGTGTAGAATGCCACATACAAGTAACTTGCTTTACTTCGTGGTTTTTATCTCATTACTGTATTTCCGTTTATTTGTTGTTACTAATTATTATGTAATATGTATTTCTATGCAAATAAACATTATTATTATTATTATTATTATTATCACGAAGAGGCTGATACCCGGATGATTTTCCACGCTTCTAAAGTTGAACCTGGCTCAAAAATTCTAATTAAATCCTCAGACACTGATGTATTAATTATTTTACTGGGAAATATTAATAGTATGGAGCATTCTGAAATTTGGCTGGCGAGTTCAGTAAATAAAAAGAAAAATACAAAAGATCTAGATTTCATTAATTGCATGGATTTGGCAAAAAACTGGGACCTACATTATGCAAAAGTCTACCTGCTTACCATGCGTTTAAAGGTAGTGATTACACGGCCGCTTTTTATAATAAAGATAAAGTTAGGCCGTTTAAAATTTTCTCACAAAACGAAACCTACCAAAAAATTTTTGCATCTTTGCTAGATGAGGCCGACATTTTCATTTCTGAGAAAATGAATGTTGTTCAGGAGTTTACGGCCAATATGTATGGTATCAAACACGGTGTCAGTGTTAATGAAGCAAGATATCAAATTTTCATTAGAACAAACTCTGCAAAAGAAGATAACGATACTTTTTTAAAAAGAGTCAAATCCTTCGACTCAAACATTATACCACCGTGCTGGTCTTCATTAATGCAAAAAATTTTGCGTACTATCTACGTTAATTCTATGTGGCTTCAGGCGACAGATCAACTATGTTTAAAATTGCGTCCTGAAAATTGTGGCTGGACTTTGGAGAATAATTATTTGAAACCAATTGGATTTATTGGTGATCAAATGCCTTTAAAAATCGACGACATTGCACAAATGACTGATAATGAAAATGATGATGAGTCTGAAAATCAACCGGTAACTTCCGATGAATCCGATGGTGAATGTTAAAAATGTTAATAATTTTTATAATTAATTACTTTTTATGTACTATGTTTTGAAATAAAGATTACCTACAAGTTAAAAATGTGATAAACATTATTTCTCTGATTTTCTAGAGTATTTTTTTTCAGTTACTTACAACTTGGTTTTTTCGAAAAACAAAATTAATAATAAACTATTAATTACTAACATTTAATTTCAGCGAATAATTCAATGCCTCTACATAAAATATTTTTTTATTAATAAAGTAATTATAATCCGTTCACGTAAATATATGAAATTGTTAAAAATATTATTTAAAATGAATTTATTATCAATCATTCCAAAATGTTATTAGACTATACACAAATTCTGTCTTTCACAGTTCCATATAAAACAATCATGCGCACTCTCTCTAATTCGACAGATACGCTGAGCGCAGAGGCTATTCCTTGTCCTCCTCTAATACACTTATCAGGCGCCTGGCGCTCTCTCACGCACAACCACCTGACTTTGATTTTTATATCTTTAAAGCTCGGCAATATGGTCACTTGAACATTTTTTCGCAGGCAAGAGTATATAATCGCGTTGAATATTTAATTATCTTTATTTTAAACTTGGTTTCAATCAGTTATCAGATCGGTGTACTCACTTGAAATAATTTACCTGTTCACCCCTACTTGCCAGGTAGTCTTGAACAAAAATGAGCAGGCAAGACCAACTAGGCATATTCTGTAAGGTTCAAACTTTTGATTTGCAAAAAAATTATTTGGTTATCACGTTGTACAAATAATAAAAAAAAATTGATTAAAATTAAATTAATTAAAAATAGTCTTGAACATATTTTGATAGGCAAGTTAGCCAAGATGCATTTGTTGATGTGTAAAATTAACTAAAAAATATATTTCATTCGGTTGGCAGATGGGTGAAGAACGATCTCTCTTCGGCTCCTCTACTATAGTGCATAGGGATTGAAATTCTACAGGGTGTTTCAAAAAGATTGGTCATAAATTATACCACATATTCTTGGGTTAAAAATAGGTCGATTAAACCGTACTTACCTATATACAAAGTACACCCAAAAATAGGTATATGAATTTTTTTAACGTTGCTCTTAAACCGTTTGGCATTTTTTCATGAAATTTTATATGACGTGTTAGAATACCATGACTAATAACACCGAGAAAGAGGCAATATTTTTATCTTGATTTTTATAGGTTTTTGGAAGGGGTCGCCACTCTTTTCTCCACTCAACTTTTTTGTAGTATTTAATTTAATTACAAATGAAACGCCACTGGAATCCAACATCCATTTTGAAACTTTTTTGCCTCCTAGTATTTGTTTGTAAAAAGTTTAGTTTAGACGATATAGCCATTTGAAATGACAACTTAAAAATATTCAATGGAAATTTTACGTATGAAAAATATCAAAATCAAGTTTATTTTTAAATTACAAACTAATGTCATCAAAGTAAAAACATTGAATTTAACAGGTGTTCAAAATTACATTCTCCTCCTGTATACACTTACTACATAGTTTTAACAATGAAAATCGAATTTTGATATTTTTGCATACGTATACTTTACATTGAATATGTCATTTTAAGTGGCTGTATCGTCTAAACCAAACATTTTACAAACAAATACTAAGAGACAAAAAAGTTTCCAAATATATGTTGCATTTTAGTAGCGTCTGATTTTTAATAAAATTTTATATTACAAAAAAGTTGAATAGAGAAAGGGGCGGTGAAACCCTCCAAAATCCTACAAAAATAAAAAAAATATATTTTGCCTCTACTTCGATTTTATTAATGGTATTCCAACACGTCATATAAAATTTCATGAAAAAATGTCAAACGGTTTAAGGGCAATGTTAAAAAAATTCACTGAAATTTTTATCTTATGTAACTATTTTTGGGTGCGCTTTTGTATATAGGTAAGTACGGTTTGATCGACCTATTTTTGGCCCAAGAATACGTGGTATAATTTATGACATACCTTTTTGAAACACCTGTACATAATTTTCATCCATAGTTAGTCGTAGCTTAATTATTCGCAGTGAGTAAAATATTCTATAAAATTTTTAAATTAAAATATCTCAAAAAGTAACTATATTTTTAACTTTTCATCATAAGTGTGCGTACTTAAAAAACTGTGCCTTTTTTACTCAAGGGAAGCTTGAGGCGAAGTGGAGAGGGGAAGTGGGATGAAAGTATATCAAATTACGTCTTCATCACTAGCTCATAACCCTACAATTTAAGATTCCAACCTTAATTTTCCCAAAAATAAAGCCAACCGAAGTTTTCACGCTGGCACCCAGTTATTCACAACTGAAGACCACAAGTGGAAAAGGGGGAATGTCACAATATATCAAAAATTGAGCTGATACCGTTATCTTTTAGCTAAATGCCGATATTTTATTATAACCAAACCTCCAAGACAAGAAGCTAGTATAGTCACCTAATATTAGTGATTCTAAATATCAGGCACAGGGGAATAACGAGGAATGTCTACATTATAAATGGTATAAAGGGGAAATGTCCAAGTTTTGTATTCGATCGCTATTATCGTAAACTTTTAAAAACAGTATCATTTAGTTGTTTGGACGTGTCCCACGTGTTGTTGAATTTTTTGCAAGCCAGTGCCTATTTTAATATACCTAAATAAATAGAAAAATGGAAGAATTAGAAGAACAGCAGAGCGAAGTATTAAATATTAGGAAGTTTAGGAAAATATCAAGTCATGGGCGACTTCGATATGTTAATAAAAAACTAAAGTTAACGACTCATGAATTAGGGGACGATTGTCTGTGTAAGAGACTAAAGTGTTTTCAAAAAACCACTATTAAAGAAAGACAAGTCATTTTAAACAACTTTAATCAACTGAATTCAACTACCCAACAAAATTTATACTTATATGGACTAATATCATGTAAGACTATCTAACGAAGACGTCTACGAAAATCTGAAGATAACGCATTACTGCACCACAAGTCTTATTCATATCATGTCAAAATTAAAAGGGACGCAGATATTTTGGAGATACCTGTATGTTATAAGGCTTTTTTGTCCATATATGGCATTACTAAAAAGAAAATGGAGTACCTACAAAAATCTTTGAAAGCAACAGGTACTTATCCTACCGATTTAAGAGGTAAGCATTCAAATCGGCCTACAAAAAAGTCTGAAGAGACTATTGAAAGTGTAGAAAGTCACATACGATCATTTAAAGGATGTTAAAGTCACTATAGCCTTAAAAAAACAAATCGCCTATATTTAAGTGAAGACCTTAACATTGCAAAAATGTATAAATTGTATGATGAAACATATCCAGATCAACCAGTTTCATACGAATTTTACAGAAAGACATTTAATACAAAATTTAACATTGCTTTTGGTTATCCACGTAAAGATACCTGTAGTGCTTGCGGTCAATATACTGCTACTAAAAAAGACAACGCTAAAACTTAAGATTACACGATCTCCTGAAGTTACTATTAATTTACAAAAATCTTTACAAACATTAGAAAACGAAAATATGCTAGATAAAAAACAAGCGCAGGTATTTTACGATAGAAAGCGTGCTTTGAAAATTCAATGTCAAAAAGATAGTGAAACTGAAGCCATTTGTATGGATTTCGCAAAAAATTTTCAAGTTCCAAACATTACTACAAATGATGTGTACTACAAAAGGCAGTTATCGCTTTATTTGTTTAATATACACATTTTGGCAAACGACGAGGTTGTATTTTACATATATCCCGAAACAGTTGCTAATAAGGGAAGCTGTGAGGTAATTTCAATGTTACATCACTTCATTGAAAATTTTCTAGTTCGAGGAATTAAGCACTTGGACATATTTTGTGATTCCTGCGGAGGTCAGAACAAAAATTATAATCTAATCAAATACATACATTATATTGTTAATGTACGAAAAAAACTGGAGTCTGTAAAAATTACTTTTCCAATTCGAGGACATTCCTATTTAGAATGCGATAGGGATATGGCAGTTATAAACCAAAAATATGCTGCTGAACTTCCACATCATTGGGTACAAGAAATTGAAAAATCTAGGATTAAGCCATCATCGTTTCATGTAGAGGACCTTGAAAATAATCAGGATATTATCAGGGATTGGAAAACCTTTTTTGAAAAATTAGATTATAAGAAAAAGGGTCCGTTTCCTACACGCCCTATAAGGGAAATAAAAACAAGCGATGAGCATCCGCGTCTGATTTTGCATAGATCGTCATTTAATGGAGCATAGGAACAATCCGTTATATTACCCCCCAAACAGAAAAGGATAAATCCAGAATTAAACGAGCATGAATTTTTGTATCCTGACCGCAAGTATGAAGGTAAGATTATTTAACTTTCTAATAATTGTTTAGTCCTAACGCCATAAAACTATTTTTTTAAGGTCTTGTACCTATATCTACTGATAAATTTCAAGATTTGCAACATCTGAAAAAGTTGTGTTCCGAAGAAACTCAACAATACTACGATAAATTACCTTATTCTGACAAAAAAAAAAACAAGAAAAGAAAAGCAAGAAGGAAAATAACAGTCCGATGTGACTAGACATTCCCCATTTATGTTATTAAAATTCAGGTTTTATTTTAGGACATTCCTCGTTTTCTGTTGTATATTTTATTAATGTAGAGACATTTCCTGTTTTTACCGTGGATAATACGTTTTTTTTTTATTATTTTACTTATTTGGTAAACAAAAAAAACTATTTTTGGTTGCAATATTACTATGTAATGTTTATTATAAGTTGAAAAATATATATGTGTTGAATTGATTTAAATTTATTCACTAATTAAGGATCCTAAAGGTTTTATACTTTAAAATTCGTTTTTCTCGAAACTTACTTTTTGTGATATTCCCCCTTTTTCCCTTGTGGTCTTCATATACAGGGATTTCATTTCAAAACTAGCCACCCAAAATAACTTTTAAAATATCTTTAAAACAAAAAAACATGTTAATTTATATATATATATATATATATATATATATATATAAGGGGGGA